TTATATAATTCGTAATTAATTAGGTTAGAGCAAACCAACAATTGCAAATTGTCGATGCCACCTACAAAAAAACAACAAAATTAGCACTAAACAATTCGGATATTCCCAAAAGTCCTTTCCTACTGAAAACAGCCCGTTAACTTAATGACGTCTCTCATATTTGACAAAAGTTGAAGATCTAATCTATGAGGAATTAAAAATATATCACCAACTAGAATTGTGATTAGTCAAGCGCAACCTGTTGCATAATTATGATTAACGACTGAATAAAATAATCTTACCTTGACTGGGCAAACTGCTTTGAGGCCGGGCCCATAATGGGTTCCTTCCAGGCGATACTCGTGCATGACCCACTCAGTTTTACTTCCTTTGGGAGCCCGGCCCGCATAGAATACCAGAGTCTTTCGCATACCAACACGCTTTCCTTTATGGGTTACGGGCCGGTCCTTACCAGTGGCTTTCCAGTAGCCCGATTTTGTGGCCCGATTTGTTCTCAACCCTGTCGCATATTTCCTGTCCCTTTGGGTGTAAAAATACCATTCTTTCCCACCCACACATGCAATATCTGCAGTAAAAACAACAAATTATTTTCTTAGCAAAAGATTTTCAATTGTAATCATCCTGGCAAAAGTTATTCATTAAACGCAAATCAACTGTTTATTTTAAATTAATATTTCAAAAAATAAAAGGAAAAAAAAAAAAAAACTAATATCACAAATTTCAGCATGTAAAATAAAACCATAATTAAGATTAAAACACTAAATTTCAGTGGATGATTGTGATTAGGTAATGTCAAAATAAATCGGAAAGTGATACTCAGATTGTTGATGTAGACAAGTTTTGGCCGTGTACCACAATTATTGAATACGGGCAAACTATCAAAATCTTGAATTGAATAAGCTGAAGATGGAGGAAATGAATTAATTATGAACTACATGAAAAAAGGCAATAAGACTTCTAATTTTTTGTTATCTTTCTTTGGTAGGCTGTCTCCATCTTTAGGTCAGGACAAGGCATTAATCAAGTGTCGATTTCTCAAGAAACGGCAGTAGGATAAAACATATGGAGCGATGATTGAGAAATATCCCATTTAACAAACACATGTAAAAGAAGAATATGGTGTTTTAGGGATTTACGTTTACCAGGAAGGTCCCAGGGCTCGCAGTTGTGAAGATCAAGGTGGATGAGAAAGGGGTGGGTGGGGCGACCCGTGACCCGTTTCATGAGGTAATCGCACACCAATTCTTCATCTCTTGGGTGGAATCGGAATCCCGGCGGCAGCTCCGCCTCCACGCTGCTTAAGCTGCTCATATTTTCTTCCAATTTTTGTATGATTTTCAGATATGATTATGTGAAGATTAAGATGATGGGTGTGTTATATATACTCTGGAGAACAGAGCTGACGACACTGCCACTGCCAAATCACTGATTTTTTTGTCAGGGAATTATAAGGGCTTGATTGTTTATAGAATAATTTACTCAACTTTATTTCATACTTAAAATCTAATTTAACTTTAATTCAAATCCATTATTTTTAATATTATTTATAATTAAATAATACAAACTAATTATTCTTAGTTTATAATTAAATAATACAAACTAATTAAATAATACAAACTAATTATTTTGAAAAAAGTAGTATGATTAATTGTTAGTGGAATTTTAAGAATGTATTAAAATAATATTTAAAATAAAATAATTAAAATTGATGTGATGTAAAAGCGGGAGATAAGTGATTGAAAATGATTGAAAATGATAGGTTGTTAAAATTATATGAGTGGATGAATAGTGATTTAGAGTTGATGTGATGTGTAAGAATGATTGGTTTGTATTATTTAATTATATGAATAATATTAAAAATAGTAGAATCGAGTTAATGTTGAATTAGATTTTGAGATAAAATAAATGTGAGTAAATTATTTCATAAACAATCAAGCCCTTACTCCTTTTATTTATTTTATAGTAATGTGGAGGAAGTCAAAGAAATGGAATTACATTATTATTTAGAGGAGGTGCGAGGTAGGTGGCGGGGCTTTTTAAACTTGGAGGAGTTCGCCGCACGTATTGACTGACGTAGATCTGCGGTATGATTTCTACCAGCTGACTTGGAGCAGAGGTTATTTGAACTAGATAAATTGTTTATCACAAAATTCAATTAGAATTAATATTTGATTTTGTGTACCTGTCATATGTTTAAATTATGATAAGTTATATATATATATATATATATATATATATATAATATAAGTGTATAAGTTAGATATTAATATCACGTTTAAAAAATCATTAGTTAAAATTAACATTGTAAAAATATTCAACCTAATCTGTATATAGTCCCACAAAATTAACATTAAAAAATAAGATATGTCATCCAAATTTCTAGCCCGCGTTGGTCTGTGGCTAAAGCTATTCAAATTTATGTTCCAGTTGGAATTGTGACATTTGATTGAGTAACCATGATACAGTCATACAGAAGGGCCCATTGGGCTCGGCCCAGTGGAACATTCGTGGATAACATCCGACCTCCTAACAGAAAACAAAAAATGAATGGAAGGGGAATGCTCGACAAATAAAAACGGCTTCTTATCTCTAAAAATCTGCTTTCCTCACACGAGTATTCCATTTGAGATCTGAAACTTCCACTTTGTTTCACTATGTAATTCAGTTGATTGATGGCAATCCTTTACCACTCGCCGGCATCTTCCCGATTCCTGGGCGGGCCACCCAAATTCAGCCCTCCCACAGCCAACAAGGCATTTTCTTCCAGAACATTATCGACGGCTAGAGACCCGCCCTTCACCCTCCCCAACTGGAGATCCGCCCGAAAGGACCCGAAGACCCAGGAGCTCAAGCTCATCGACGCCTTCTTCTACCTGGAGCACATGGTCGCCAAGGGCCACCGACCCGACCCGGCCAGCGCCACCCAGCTCCTCTACGACCTCTGCAAATCGAACAAGTCCTTCAAGGCCATCCGGGTCATGGAGATGCTGGTCCGATCCGGATCCATACCCGACGCCGCCTCCTACACCTTCCTCGTCAGCAGCCTCTGCCGCCGTGGCAACGTCGGCCACGCGATGCAGCTCCTTGCCACCATGGAGGCCCATGGCTACCCTACAGACATGAGGACCTACAACTCCCTCCTCCGTGGCCTCTCTATGAATCACGACTTGGACAAATTACTCTCCTTCGTCGAGAAATCGATCCAAAACGGCGGCCTCGTCCCAAACGCCTTCACCTTCTCCATCCTCATCAAGGCCGCCTGCAAAGAAAGGGGTGCGGACGCCGCCATGAATCTTCTAAACGCCCTAACACCCCTCTGGGGAGTCCCCAATTTAGCTAGCTACAACGTGATTTTGAAGGGTTTGTGCAGTGAGGGTAGAATCGGGGAGGCCATTAATCTCTTCCGCAGCCTGCCGGCCATGGGTTTCAGCCCGAACGTGATCAGCTACAACATATTGCTAAAAACCTTGTGCTATGGGCAGCGGTGGGAAGAAGCCAACGAGCTCCTGATGGAAATGGATGGCGGAGATCGCGCCCCATCCCTCGTCACTTACAACATACTAATCGGCTCACTCGCGACTCACGGGCTAACCGACTGGGCCCTGGAAGTCGTGGACCAGCTTTTCAGCGACGGACGTTTCAACCCAGATGCCGACAGCTACAACCCAATCCTCGCCCGTTTATGCAAAGAAAGGCGAGTCGACTCGGTTTCGAAATGTCTAGACGAGATGAAATCTCGGAATTGCATCCCGAACGAGACGACTTACTGCTCGATCGCCACGCTGTGCGACGAGGGCATGGCGGACGAGGCGTTTTCGATCTTCCGGACATTAGGGGAAGGGAGGAGTGGCGGATTCTACAGGGAAGTGGTGAGTGTGCTTTGCGGGAAGAAGAAAACGAGGGCGGCGCTTGAGCTGCTGGTGCAGATGGTGACATCAGCAGACGAGGGGTTCGAGTTCGAGTTCGAGTCTTGCACGTACTCGTCGGTTATAAGGGGGCTTTGTTTGGAAGGAATGGTGGAGGCGGCGGTTGGGGTTGTGCGGGAGATGGATGACGTGGCGGACGTGAACAACTACAACACGGTGTTGGTGGGGCTGTGCAAGCGCGGGAGGACGGAGGTTGGGTTGGAGGTGGTGATTGAGATGGTGGGGAAAGGGAGAATGCCGAGCGAGGCCACGTATGCTATTCTGGTGGAGGGTTTGGTGCGTGAGGGGGAGAAGGGGTTAGCTGCAGGGCTGCTCAAGGAGCTTTCGGAAAGGGAGGTAGTCGGGAAGAGCACTGCCGAGAGGCTGACGATGCAGCATGATCTTGACCTCACTAGATGATACAATTGTTGTATTCTTCTTCTACTCAGTTGATGTTGGAGCTAATTGGGAATTCATGGACTACAACCTTAGTGTAAACTCTATCTGCTTTGGTGCATATTCAAGATGAGAAAAGAATGGGAACAACAATTTAGAGAATGATTATGGTGATATACATAAAGAGTGCATGTGGTTTGGAGATATTGGGTGTGATATCAAGCTAGTAGGTATTATTTTCATGTCTATATTTTGTTTGCCTCATTAAGTTTAAGACCCTTGATAGGTCTTTCCCCCAAGATAGCTCGTTATATCACTAACTTCTTTCAAATTGTAAAAACATCACGACTTTTGTGCCTTGACGCATAATATCATGACTTTTGGTTTCCTTGCAAAATGATACACCGAAATCAGAAACATGCCACCGTGCTTACGTGTCCGACCAAGGGAAAGAGGGGGAAGAGAAAGAGAAAAGGGGTTTTTTTTTTTACTAGTTTGATTGTAGGATATTTGAACCGAGTCTACGTGTTTTGGATTTTATGCACATGAGGTTAGGCCTAATTTGGACATACAAGGCTTTATCTAATTAAAGTTGGATTTAAGGTTTAGGCTGCGTTTGGTAATTGGCTTTTCAGCCAACTTTTAGCTATTTGACCATTTTATAGCTTATTTGACTTGTTGACCAACTAATAATTGTATTTGGTAAATTGACTTTTTCACTTAGCTTTTTGTTCCAAAAAGCCAATTTAGAAAAAGCTACAATTAGTATCGATTCCACTTAGCTTTTTGATGACCACTACTAACATAATTGTTTTCTAATGTTTTAAATGAAGGACAACAACATAAGTATGTTACCAGAAAGTAAGCATGAATTAGCACTTAAAAAAAGAAAGCAATAAATTAACATGACAACACTGTTGACATGTTTATTGCCCTTGTATTTGTTAGAACACTATTAACATATATGGATGTTATATTATTATTATTATTATTATTATTATTATTATTATTATTATTATTATTATTATTATTATTATTATTATATTACAAAATAACTCTATTAAGTATTAAAACTATAAATGATTTGGCATTAAAATAATTATAACTACAATTAATTAAAAAATCTTAAATTACTACAATATTGATATAAGTAACTAAAATATTGGTAATTAATAAAAATATTTGATTTAACCAAATATAATATTAATTAGCACATTTAGTTACTTGCACTTATTTCATGTGAGTGGTTCAGTTTTTTAAAATTCAGTTAATAGGCTATTAGAAAGATAAGGATGGAAATGTTGTTGTCATTTTTTAATACTAATTTGTATTTAAGTACAGTAACACACTTTTTATATTTATAATTTATATTCTTTCTTTTATTTTACTTTAATTATAATAAGTATGAAAACTTAATTTAATTTAGAATCACTTAACTTTTGTTGATACAAAAGTAATTACATAAATACAAATGGTATTTATTGCTTTCTAATTAGTATTTATATAATAAAATAAGTAAGTTAATAACATTAAATTTATTTTTACAAATCAATCAGCTATTTAACCAAACATCCTTTTTATAACCGCTAACAATATCAGTCGGTCAAAACAGCTAATACTAACAGCTGGTCAAAACAGCTATTATAATCCGTTATCCTCTAAAGCTAACCGCTAATTACCAAACAAGGCCTTAATGTAGTTTTATGGACTTTAAATTCACTTTATAATTAAAGGTGGATTTAAGGTTTAATGTAGTTTTATGGACTTTAAATTGAAATAAAGTGAATTGACACAAGTTTATGTAAAGTTGAATTTTGGCCCAAATTAAAAGTTGGAATTTTGAGATTACCTTTTTCTTCTATCTCAGATTCTCAAAATTTATGTAAGGATTGAGTTTTGAGTTTAACTTTGTAGTAGGCTCAAAATATGTTTCACAAATACGGGACTATTATGCCCATAAGAAATGGATTTTATATTGTTCACATATGATCTAAGGATTTGTGTCAATTATGAGAACCCTATTATGCATTATTATGACTTTATGTGTTATGAATTTTGTATATAATTTTGCTTAAGCTTGAAAGTTCATATTTAGTCCATTTATGTTTGCACACAACTTCAAGTAGTAATATTATGATTAAATGAATTGAATTTTAGCCTAATTAGGTAATCCTGGACCGTAAATTGAAAAGAAAATTTATTTGGATGTGAGCTTATTGAGATTAAATTATAAGCCTATTTTTGTTATATGGGCTTTAACTCTAAATAAAGTTTGATTTAATATCTCTTTTGTTTTGTATTAAATCCATAATTTTTCTTGCGGTGACAATTTAACGTTGTTAAATTGAGTAATAAAGAAATTCTCTCTCATTTTAACTTTGATGGCCTGCTTTTCAATTAAGCTAATCAAAGCGCCATGTTGTCATGACAACATAGAACTGCTATGATCCTTAACAAGGCCGATAAACCGAGATTTTGTTGACGAAGATCATTATCAGATCTCCACTCGTGATCCGTGTTCGTGGTCAATTTCAAGTTCATAAAAGTTTAAATATGTAAATTCACTTAAGTTATGCTTACGCAGTTACGCTATCTAGTGATGATTCATGATTATCAATGCGAGTGCTTTTAGATAAAACAATGATTTTCGCATAACGTAACTAAAATATTGTACTCCTTAAAGACCCTCGTATTTCAGCTTCATTGTTACTAGCCATATATCCCACTCTACCGTATATTCCAAGTTGTTTTCCTACGGGGTGACCATGAATATCCATACTCCAGCTCCTTCTATTACCGCGGATCCATCGACATCAAACATCTCCGTTCCTCTTCTTTAGTGGATTTCTAAACGAAGTCCGCTAAAGCGTATCCTCCTAGGTTCATACCTGATATGCTACTCTCCCAACTCCACCGCCCGTTTCATTTTCTGACCAGACACGGAGCATCGTCCTAGTTTATCTCCTAGTGTCGATTGGTCTGACTATCACGGTATGTTCTAGAATGAATATAATAATTATATTTACTTTTAAAGAAAATGATTAAATTACAAGTTAATATTACGTGAAAAATAATAACATTATGTAGTAACTACCTAATTTATCTATCAAGTCTTATATAATATGAATTTAAAAAGTATTATAATATTAAATTGATAAGTAGTATAATATTAATCAATAAACAATCAAGCCCAGTTTTTTTGAAAAAATATTTAAAACTTGAAAATAAAAGGCGTCTTTTTTTCTTTACATTTATATATTTATTTTTTAATATATACTTATATTAAAAGGTATACCATTTACCAGATTTAGTATAAAGAAAAGTCAACAACATTTATTGCATTACTATTTCCGTATTATATAATTTATACTTATATAAAAGGAGATTCTATTTACTACATTTACTATCCAGAAAAGTCAACTGCATTAAATGCCATTACTATTTTGGTATTATAATATTTATTTAATTGATTTATTTATTTGTTTTATTTTAAAAAGGTAAGTATAATAAAAAATTTTAATAATAAAGAAATCAAATACCAAATAAAAATGTACACTTTGACTTATTTGATTATATTTGGTGTTTGATTATACCAAATATATTCCTATTTAGTATATACATTAAATACTTACTAAAGTATTTATTTGTTTTATTTGTCAAAGTTAAGTATAGATTTGTTTTTATTATCAAATCATAAAAAATATTAAATCTATATTGTAAAAAAAAATCATATAATTTTATAACAATTCTACTACACTGTTTAACAATATTTCTTTTTTATTATATAATAAAATAATAATTAAATATTATATGGTGAACAACAATAAGTAAAACTGTTACTTTCTCTTATATCAAGGGATAAATTTATATGCTAAAATTAAATTTTATTAGTATAAATGTTTTAGTGAGATAATATATTAATTATTTTACAAGCTAGCCCTAACATGCTCATATTTAATGTTTTAAAAGATGTAGAAAAAAAACTTATAATAACTCTATTGTTTTTTAGACTTAAATGTTGATTAAAAGAGGTAAAAATTCCTAATTTTTTAGACTTAAACGTTGATTAACACCATAGATTGAGAGTTTATATTTAGTAAAATTCCTAATTGTAATAAAAAAAATAATAATTTTTGCTATATTTTAGAATATTTTTAAATTCATTATACAAAAAAAGAAAAAAAACTACAATGAAAAAAGCAAGTCAGCTATATATCGATTTGTTGTACTCCTCAAATCACATTCACAATTTGGCTACAAGGAAAGGAAACTCATTGATTAAAATATTATTTTGTCAATAGTCTTAATGTACAAGAGACTTTAAGACTCTACTCGAATAGTATAAAACTTTTATTGAACATTGTACAATTTTCTTGCGTTTTATAAACATTTATTGAATATTGCATATTAAAATATAATATTCTCCAAATATATATATTTCGTGCTTGGCACGGGTTACGTACTATATATATCCCGTATATTTTTCTTTATTCATGCATATCATTATAAGCCTGCATAAATAGCCTTAAAATTTCGGACCATCGCACTCTGTACTAGTTAGCACATTACAAGTTATTAGTGGCGGTTGAAAAGAGCCTATATTTTGAATTTTCATCATAAATACAAAAAAGTGAAATCCTTTAAAAAGAAAACTCGAGAACTCGACAATCGGTACTGCCTTTGCAAACGAAATTAGATTGATTGCGCACCAGAACTCAGCCATCAGTGTAGAGCTGCTGGGCATTGAATTCGAATTAATTTGGGCCCGAGCCTCCTGTAACACTACTCCACCATAGGCAGCGGAAACCGCCTTAAGAGTGAAATCAAATGCGACCATCGGCGAAGCACGGCGGGGCGGACAAGAATCGCGGCATCAGCGGTCACGTTCTTACCCTCCATCAACGTCTTGAACATGCCCTAAACCTCGGGTATGGACAAATATATCGTAGTTGGAATCTACGTTTGCAGATTATGAATTCCTCTAAGTCTATCCTCTCGCTCAAACTTTTCTTGATTAGTTGAGTTGATCTTACTACTGTGTGTGTGATTGGCTCCAAAGTTCAAATTTGCTTTGGCTCTATGTGGATTAGTTGGTAGATGGCTAGCGATGGTTATTACACATTTCCTAAGTGTGGGAGTTATTTAGTTTTGATAGGTTGATGCTACACATTTCCTAAGTGTGGGAGTTCTTTAGTTTTGATAGGTTGATGCCTGCAGAACTCGTCCTGTTTTTGATGAGGTTAAAGCTTATGAGCTCACGGCTTAGTTAATGAAACTTAGCATAATCCCGGACTTAGAAGTTTTACAGTTTTTATACATTCAATATCATTTGTGTTAGGCGTCACTAACTGGATTTTGATTTATTTTGTGTGAGGCTGTGGGGGCGTTGTCTCATTAATTTTTCATCCTTATTTGTTTGGGTTGTTCACTAAGGTCATTGAAGAAAGTTTAGGTGCTGGTGAGGTTTTTTGCTCTNNNATATTTTGAAACAAGAGATGTTAGCTTGCTATGCGATGTTAGGATATTCTCACTTTCCAGACCTGGCCAATTTTCTGCGTATCATCTAAAAAATTTATGTGCATCTTCCTTGGTGGTTTTGTTGAAATAGTTGTTTTTATTTTATTGCACTTAATGCTTATGTTAGTACCCACGTGATAATCACTTTTGGAGCTGTATATTGCATGATATCTCTTTATGCTTTAATCGTCTTCTAAATTCGATATGCTATGCTGATAGCAACACGGGTAGGATTTTATGCTACCTTTAGAAAGTCAAATTTCGTCTCCCCCTAGGACATATAGCTGTATGGGATGAAACTTTTATGGGAAGTGTTACTGCGTGCAGTGACACTAGTTTCGTTACAAGTTTGACTACATATTATGACACCATGAAAACAGATAATTTTGTAATCTGGATCTGCCCTAGAGTGAATATCATTGGGACACTGGGTATTAGTTTATACATTCTTTTCTTTTCCTCCCTTTTTTTTGTACATTCTTTTCATTCCTTTCTATTTTTCATATTTCTGTAAATATGGTTCTTTCTATAACTGCAGCTGACCTGATACACTTTGATTTGTTATTGCAGCACCTGGGAGAGCAAAGAGACATGGTATTGTCCGGACATTGAGATACAAAAACTTGTGCTTCGCGCAATTGATGCGTTCCTTGAATGTATCTCCAGTGAGACATTACAATACCCTCTTGTCAAGGTACAGATGAAGCTGCATAAAACCCATAACCTTAAGTCAATAAAGTTGGTTATCAGTTTCTCCATTTTTCCTTGTACACTTTCGTAGAGCAATTACTGATTAACCTGCTGTGCTAAGAGCTCTCTTTTTTTCTAATAACCCTCGTAGCTTGCTTATGAGAATCTTAAAATTGCAATACCCACATAATTTGCTGAGTAATAAGTGCATGATGTATAAAAGATATGCATTTTGTCAGAATGCTCTCTGTTGTTTTGATATATATAGCATTGTAAAGACACATTAGAGGACAGGCGTAATTATCATCCACAGTGTCTCTTTTAGATTAAGTAATTTTCTTGTGTCTCAACTTTCAAATGTATAAACCTTTCTTTAATATGTAGTGAATTCTGATGGGTATAGTTTGACTGTGCCACAAGACTTTCCATTTTGGCTTTTTTATATTGTATTACATTCAGATGCTGTGAAAGTTAGCCTAACATGGTTTGACTGTGCTACGAGAGTTTCCATTTTGGCTTCCTTATATTGTATTACATTTAGGTGCTGTGAAACTTAACCTAGCATGGACACTCTTCCTAGTTCCTTGCCTGTGTTTGGTTCGAGTGTAAGTTTCCAGCAGTTAGATGGTGCATTGAACTGAAAATAGGATGGGCAACGCTAGTTATCATGGTATAGAAATTCTACGAGTGAATGATAATATGCAAAGTTGGTCCTCTGCTCTCCGCTCTTCCTCCTGACTTGCCTTTCAGTGATAAGTATGTTTGAAAAGGATGTTTACGATGAAACACCATTAGAATTTTATTGGCAGAATTTTGGTGATTGCAATGTGTTGTTCATGGCATCCAGGGCGTAACTGCGTTGGTTACCCTGATGGAATCAAACATATTCACAATCTAATATTAGTTAAGTTAAATGCACTTATGGAAAGTGGCACAGTGCTTTCTGCCAATCATTGATTTTTTTGCTTGTTTGTTTTTTCTTGTTCCAGGATTCAGCTGCTAACATGGTCAGAGCATTAAAAAGTATACTAGAGTTCAAAAGTCAACCAATATTGAGGTTTGCCTCTAGTGTCACTGTCAAGATGGTTAACGTTTTGCCAAACTCGCGCCTGCAACCTCATGTTTCAGATCTGATCCTCCCTTTGGCAAATCTGTTGTGTTCTCAACAACTTCAGGTTGCTATGTCGAGTGCTACTGCCATGAACATTGTTTTATATAAACTAAGTTCTAGGCATGATGGTGAAGTTGGGCAGATTTTGAAGGAAACAAAGGCAGTTGGTTATATTGTTCATAACATTAAGCAATTTCGTGTTGATGATAAACCAATTGAGTACTTTCAAGAGATGGCTTCTGTTTTAAGTAAAATATTGCTGCGGTGGCCATCTTTTAGATTCAGTGTATGGAACGATTCTATGTTCTTAAACATTTTGGATGCCGTCAAACTCATGTCTGAAAATTCAGTGAAAATTGCTGTGCTTCAGTTATATTCTTCCTTAGGTATCACCGACTACTCTCATACTAGTCCCGTCCCGTTAAACTTGTACATGTAGCTTTAATGGTGGGATTGCACCTGTTCTCTTGTTTATGCTTGCCAGTTCTATGTGGCAATGGAGCAGATAAGCTTCTTGAAAATGGGGAAGCACTTCTACAAATGTTGGTTGGCTGCATGGAAAGTTCAATCACTAGTTCAGTCCGGTTAGAAGCATTTAGACTTGCTCGATATTTAGCGGTAGACTTTCGTAACTCCACCTTATACTCTATCGAAGTTATCAATTTGTGTATCTGAAGTATTCTGCTTAATGAATTTGTTAGTTCAGCAGAAGACGATGCATAAAAATGATGAGCATATGCTGTGAGTCCCTTGTCCAAGTTGTAACAAGCGCGATGAACAGTTGGGTTTTACTGTCTGATAAATCCAATAAAGACGAATTATCTGTTATGGAGGAGGCATGCCGTCTGGCGACTGTCACTCGCTGGGCAGGTGATCACCACAGATACTTTTGGAAAGTCGGCGTGGATAGACTTCTCCTCCATCTTCTTCTGGAAAATTCTCCCGTAATTCATCACCTGCAGTGTAATTTATCTCTGAATGATCTAATATTTATTGTGCGAGAAAATTATAATTCCAATCTGCTTCATCCCTTTAGACCATATATATGGGATATTATTGGAGGACTTGCAGCAAATTGTAGCCCCAAAAATAACAACTTCGAGTTGCACGGGAATGAGCGTCACCTAAATGTCCTTATAATATGTTCATGGTAATACTTCTTTTAACTAGATAGCCTTTGTACCCTGAGTTTTGATTTGTTTCTTATTTGATTTTGTTGTCCTTTTGAGTTTTTATACACCTCAGTAACTATGGCTGCTATATTTCTTTGCTATATAGTATTTTGTGATCGTTCTCCTTGTCATAGTATGCTTATTTATCCGTTTTTTTCTTTCTCTGGTATTTCTCTATACTTCGACAGTTTGTCCTTTGCCCACTCACTTGGAACATTGCGCCATGTTTCCCAGACGGGTACAACGAATATGAGTGAATGTGAATCAGCAAGTAGGGCAGTTCTTATGATGGTTTATTCCCCTTGCAAATATTTTGCATCCCTGGCTAGGTCCATACTAAGTGAGATACTCAAGTTGGAGACTAATGGTTATGTTGGACACTTGCTACAGATTCTGAATGCTGGATTGTCAGGAAACAAGTTTGGGCTTCCAGGAAACCTTCAACTTTTGTTGACGTTGATGAGTTTGGCTTGCTATTGCAGTCTACCAACTTATCAGAAGCTCATAATTAGATCCCAGGGGATCAAAACTGTGGTGGATTTCATTGTGAGATGGCTAAATAGCCCTGTCCGAATGAAAAGAGCAAGTATGGTGCCTCATTTGCGAGATTCATTCAGTGATAAGACTTGTTGTTTCCCATGTACAGAAGATTGGGAAGGCGAGGACATGCTTTTGCTTTTTAGCCTGTGGGTTCTTGCCGAGTTGCTACAACTCTCTACTTGTGTAGAACTTCGTCCATTTTTTCACATGGAAGAGCATTCTGAGGCAAAATTTATTCAGAAAATCCAGGGGATATGTGGAGACAATTATTCGCATGGTTCAAGATGGTATGCTGCATATGTACTCAGCTATTTTGGACATTTTGGTTTACCGAGTAAATTGGGAAACAGGATTGGAAAATTACTTGGTCAAAAGGAGCATTCTGATTTGAAGCTCGATATTATTAACGAAGAATCTGTCTTTGTTCATGAAGTAATTCTTACTGTAAGATGTCCATCATTACTACCTCATAGTGAATCAGTTCCTAAAGAGGAATCAACAAGCAGGCCTAATGTAAATCTGGATACGGGGAGAAACAACATAAAGGCAATTCGTTTATCAGCTCACGTGGACCAGCAGTCACTGTGGAAGTTGTTGGAATATGTTTACTCGGGATACTTGCAAGCTAGTGCAGACCTTGCTAAGAAGCTGAAAATATTTGCGAGGCACTGTAAATTGGAATCTCTGATGCAGCTCCTTAGTTGGAGAAATCCAAAATGGGATGTCCCTGTAACAAGCTTTGATCTTAGACCTGCGCTTGGGCCAGCTGGATTTTATCTTTCGTATGTACTTATGCATGGCATTTGAATTTGTACTTTGTGCAAAATCACATTTTATATTTTTGCTGATATTGGTATACATGATCTGAACTTCTAGTTCGCCACGCAAATTGCGTATGTAAGGCCTCCCTTCCATTCCATTACAGTCGTTTTTAGAATCTGTATTCTATATATTAGCAAGATAAGTCTTCACCTGTCTTACAGAATGACAATTACTTAAAATCACATTTTATATTTTTGCTGATATTGGTATACATGAAATGAACTTTTGTTAGGATATGTCTCCAGACTCAAATTGGAGGGCTCACATTATGAATAAAGATGGGGTTTCTCTCTGATTATTCATTCTAAAAAAGGACTGCACATTAAAATAAACAAATGCATGCTGTACATGGAGTTTTTATTCCTCAAGGATAAAAAGAACTTGTTTTACATGGAGTTTTTATAATCAGCGACNAGAATCTCAATGCTGTGATGTAATGTTTGTATTGTTCCTCATCAGGGATCTTATTTTGGAAGCCGGCAGCACGCCTCAACTGGTCCATTGGAAATGCAATGACTGCAGTGCTTTGGTTCCTCATCTACATGTTCATAAAGTGATATTGGAATCATGTTGTGATTATTTGAGGGCCCTATTCCAATCGGGAATGCAAGAGAGGTACTAATGCATAGTGTTTATAGTGGGTTAAATATACATAATTATAGTAAATTTGTTAGATTTTATTTCACTGAAGGTACTTTTCCATCAAATGAGTTTGTTGTTAGCTTTACAACCTAAAATCTTACCGAGTGTTATCCTCATGGGTCATACAATGTATATCAATTTAGTGGGAACATGGTTCAGAGCCACAACACCTTGCTAGGCAACCTGATTTTGGTGATTACATTTTTTTGTGAAGTTTTTCCCAACTCATCATTTGACGAACACAAGCGTTAACTTTTTGAACTTGGATTTGAGTATTTGAAGCAGTGAAGTGATTGATGTTCTTTGGGATCTTCCGTAGTGTACAACCAGTGAGGGTATGATTGGATACAAAACATCCAGTTATGATATGAATGACCGACATACCACAACTAGTTTATTTAAATCAAAATTCAACTCAAACTTAACCCAACCCAACTTTTCCTCAATATTTCAATATATCACATCAATTTTCATTCACTATTCATCCACTCACATAATTTTATCTATCCATCACTTTCAATCATTTCTCTCCTACTTTTACATCACATCAACTTTAATAATTATATTTTAAATATTATTTAAATACTCGAAATTCCACTCAAACAAACTCAATCAACGTTATTAACTTACTTTATCCAATAAATCCAATCAAATCCAAAATAACTTATATCCAATCAGTCCCTGAACCACCCAATGGGATATTGTACTAGGCTATCCTATTCTTATTTCCTTTCCTTTCTTCTTCTTTTTTTTTTCCCCTTTCTTCCCAACCATGTGTGAGACTCATTCGTTTGATGATTAAAGCTTATGTAATGAATCAT